TTCCCCTTCTTGATATCCAGTAATATCTCAAATATATTATGCTCCAGCAATTGCATACCAGTGGATTTCTCTGCCACTTCTTAACCTTTTACTTGTATCTACATTCTTCTTGGGTAACACTGATTAAGACTTTCAGTGCAAGGTAACAATGTCTTGCATAAAAGGAGCCCTGGATGATCAAGTTGATAATCAAATATCAATTTGATACTTAAAAAAATGCTGAGAACTGCCATAGTTAACTATATGGCACTTCTCAGCATTTTTTTAACTCTCCTTTCCTGCTTTGTCAGGTCCAAGCCTGATGCTGCTTGAAAGTTTATTTGAGGGCATGGGTCCTTGCATTGCCATTCCTAGCTTGGTATTTTGCCAGCAGCATGTAGTCATTCCCTATGCAGGAGAAGCTGCAAACATGGCCATATGGACTGAGTAGGAATGCAGAGGGCAGTGAAGTCCTGGGGAGAGGTGTTTGTAGGTGTCCGAGTTCCTGCAAATAATCTGTACATCTTGTGCTAAACATACTCTGCTGAATTTGCAGACTTCCACCAGAAGTACTGGAGATACATGCTCTAGTTTACACAAGCCTCTGTAACAGAGTTTGGAAAAAGACTGCAAAACAAGCTTGCAGGTAAATAAACTCTGCTGTTCAGATTGTTCAGACTGCTGCCAGCCCTGGTCTGAGTCCTGACATCTGTGCTCCAAGAAACCACGTGTTACAAAACCAGCCCACTTCCTCCAGGCCCTTGGTTGTCTGTGGGGAAAAGGACCTGTAATTAAACAAAGCTCTTGCTAGTGCCACATCCTGCTATTTCACACAAGTGTTTCAATTTAGGAAAACAAACAAGAATTCTGCCGAGGAAAATCACAATAAGCATGGGTTCATCCAAGCCAGAGTCATTTCACTTCGACAAAGAAATATGCTAAGAAAAGGTGGTGATACAGCACCAAAAAAGTGACAAGCACTCATGCCCCGTTATGTCTCCTGTTGTGCTGGATAGTTGCTACTTGATCTCCTCCAACCAATGTGACACTGTCCTTCCAGGGCGGTGGATATGCTTGGTCTACAGAAGACTAAGGCAGGAGATCTCCATGACCTGGAGAGCAAGCTGGATCACGAGCAATACCAATTGCTTTGAGAGCATTGAACAAACTCAGCTGTTAAAAGGAGATTCTTCTGCTATATGGGAATGGGTTGCTTGGGTTCTCAGGAAGGATGATGGAGTTTGTGCTGGCATCCTAATTCAACAAAAAAAAATCTTCTGTGTGTCCTGTCCAAGCCTCTCCAGAATTCCCATGGTTTTCCTACCATTTCTAAGTCTTGCTCAACACCTTGAGATGAGGGGAAGACACTATTTTCTTCCTGGTGAGCTATGCTCCCAGAGGAAGCTTAGTCTTGAAGATAGAGCGGACAATCTTCTGCTACATCCCTTGCCAGAAATCTCCATTCCAAGTAGCTTCTTGGCACTTGTGTGGCATGTGACTGTGCTTGAATAACCTCCTGGAACAAATACTTAATGCTCATGAGTTGGAACTCAGAGAAGAACTGGTGTGGGACAGGAAAGGTTAAATGGGAAAGGAGCTGTCACAGGGTGACCAGGACAACGCAAAACCCCAAGAGCCCAGGAATGCATATTGAAGCTCCTTGCAAAGGCATGACCTTCTGTGGAGACCTATTGTTGGCAAAACACGGTTGTTGTTTGTTCAGATCGAATCACTAACTGGGAATCCTCCATCAGACTGGTGTCTCCTGGGACTTGCATAATCTACAGTCAGGAGAAACCATTCTTAACTAATGTCTGAAATGAAAATCCAAATCTGACAGTGGATTTTACCTTGTCAGATGGGCAAGTGTCTACCAGCTTTGGTCTTCCCAGGAGAAGACATTGTGTACATCAGAAATAAATAAGAAAAAATAATATTACTGCAGAAGCTGATAAAGAAAGTGAAGTGCAGCCCTGCCCTCAAGTCCTCATTTTCAGTGGGCAGCTGCTTTTGCAGCAAACTCTTGAGGGTCTGCATTTCTGAAGTTCCCACACTGACTTTCTCCACTTGTCAGCAAGTGGAAGAGGATTCAGATCTACTCTGAAGGTGCACCTGGATGGGATACCAGTACTTCAATCTCAGCAAGTACCACAAAGGAGAAACGCACTATAGACTAGAAACTCTTAATGCATTAACTGCTTGCTCAGGGATGACTGCACCGAGTTCTGGGCTGGTTCTGCTTGTTTTCATTCCCCTGGTTTGCTGCTCTGCAGTCATGCAGATCCACCCCTAGCCAGAGTCCCATGGCTGCAAGCAGGAAGCTGGGCTGGAGATCCCAGAGTTTCCTTCCTGCACCACTGATCTCCTGATAGGAGAAATGGTAGGACTGGAAGATGTCTAATTTTAGGGATCTGCAGATGCAGAGCCATCTCAGAGAGCTAATGGTCATGCCAGCGTACATGAGATTTACTTTGTCCTCTGGATTTCCATGCCAATAAAAGCCAGTCTGTCAACGTTACGTATTTATTCTTTTTGGGTAAGCCTTTTTCCTTTTAACCAAGGCACAGCTGTATTACCTTCTCTAGGCAATGTCGTCACCCTCTGCCTTCTGCTGGCATGCAGTGCTGGCAAGTGTTGCCAAGGAGTATCGAAGGCAGGGAAGATACACGTGAACACATTTGGCAGCACTAGAACCTGTTGCCCTTCAGATTACAGATGAGGAGGCTGCAATCCATATGCAGAGATATGCAAAAAAACGCAGTTGCCAGATGTGGATATTCTGGATGACGTGCTCGTTATCCAACTCGTTATCTCCTTTCAAGATGCAGTGCTTTGCTCTTGCCCTCTTTGAGGTTCAGGACACCCTTCCTGAATTATCCTGGAGAGGAAAAGCAGGCAGTGTGATTGCAGAGAGGTCAGGTTTCGTGTCCTTGATGGACAAACCTCAGCCTCTGTGTGTGCCTTTATAAGCCCAGGTAACCAGCTCACTTGGTGTCATTGTCGTTCCCAACTGCACGGACAGGCCTGGAGCAGAAGGTCAGGTTGAGCTGAATTGTGTACTTTCCTTCTAGCTCATGCTGTTGCTGAAAGAAATGTTTCCAATGGAGACAAAAGGTGTTCTTTGTTGCTTCCAGCTATTCATTTCTGCTTCTAGAGACACGCATCAAGAACTTGAGCATTTTGGTCTCAGTAGTAGTTTCCTCTAGAGAGTCTGCTTTGCAGTTCTGCATCTGAGCAATGTGGGTTTTGTGAGCATCAGCTCTGCTGCAGTGAGCTTAGGGAGTAACGCAAACCTCATGGCTCTGATTGGATATTTCTCTGATTCTCTATCCCTTCTGAGGTCATGTGTGTGTCTCCACATCAATAGCTTTGGCTTTGTTGGATCCTGCTTGTGTTATGGTCTCTCCTCTGAGAAAGGCACTGCTGGGCTTTTGTCAAATGTATGGGCTGTTGGTGTTTTCTAGTAGACTCTCTTGTTTAGTGCTGGGGGTAAACACTGGCAGGACTCACAGCTGGGTTAATGGACCCACAATACCTGGGGTCTGAGCTCAGAGGTGCTACAAGGTGCCACAGAAGCTCCAAAGAAGATGAAATGGGATCTGATGGGAGTGCTCTGCTGATGGGAGCAGGGGATGCCCTGCTGCAGGCTGGCTCTGGAATGCACCAAGTACCTGGAGTATTTTCCAGGAGTACTGGTGAAACTTAGATGTCTTGCATGCAGGAGATGTGGGCCATCGTTTCATTTGGGCCGTATGTGATCTTACCCTGTATGTATCCTAAAACCCTACTGCCTATTAATGAACATGCTGAATGCTACAGCTATGCACAGTGACTAATCTCTTTCCTTCTTCCTTTGGCACAGAGGTTTGATCTCTTGCGATAGCAGGACAAGTTGCTCAACATAAATTGGTAAATGGCTGAGTGCCAGTGCTCTCACTGACACTTGTAGGCTTTGAGTCAGAGCTTGTTCTAGCTCTGAGCTATTGAGGTGTGCCACTGTAATATTTAGAAAATGTTGACTTGGAGAGCAGAGCCTTTAGTCATGTCTTCCATCTTAGTGCTTCTTCCTACTGTCAGAGCCCACTGCTCAGCTGGGTGAGGGGATGGGCCGCTGAATTTTGGAGGGGACTTCTGCAAGTCTTTGGTCCAAGCACTACAAGTGGGACCATCCCCTCTGTTAGATCAGATCCGCCTGTGTACAGCCAAGCCTTAGAAACCAAAATGTAGAGACCTACTTCTCTGTTACTTTGTCCCAAGGCAGCTTGCATGTCTTACACTCTTGCATGCAGTCTGAACCTCCCATGTAACTTCCTCACTACAGCACCTACTTCTTCTTTGTCAGCCTCAGACTGGCTGGCCAAAGACAGTGCAGGGCTTACAGCTCTTCTGGACAGGCAAGGGAATTTTTCTGACAAATGCAGAAAAGCAGATTCTCTTGGCACAGCATCTCTGAAGAACCTTGCTGTTCTTTGGCAGTTTATGCCATCTTAATGTCAATGGCTACAAAAAAAAAAAAGTCATCATTTAAAGGTAAATAAATGATGCTGCAGTACCTCAAACTCAACGGACAAGGGGTAAGCACTACTTCTCATTCATTGCCACATTTTACTATTTTTATAAGAAAATGCTATAAGTTGAATACAAACAATTCTGCCCACCCCAACAAGGGGTTTCCTAAGTAGGGTGTGCAGCAGGAAAATACAATTGGAATGAAAACCTGGGGTGAGTTTTGCAACAGGACAATAGTACTGAGAAGACTATTGTTATAACCTGTGGAGGGAGGACTCATCTGACATCTGCTAATTTCTATGCAGGCCAGGCTTCTCGCTTCTTGTGACCCGTGCTGCTTGCTGAGGTACCTATTTCAGTAATACGGTCTGTCCTTGACTCCCCTAGGCAGGGCCTGGATTGGGAAGCACTGAAATCTGGGTTTTGGTGAGAAGCAACACCGACACACTAATACACCTGCAGAAACACAAAGCTGGGTACTAGCTAGCATTAATGAATGTGGCCCCCAGACTTATGCTGACAACATTCTACATCAGCAAGGCTGCAGTTAGGTGCAGAGACCCCAGGCAGCCACGATGGCTGTGGCTGTGGCCTCCTGCCCTCACGTGTCCCCTCCCTCCCCTGGGGACACTCAGGCAATGTTTGATGGTCCCCTAGTACTCCATCTTGTTCACACCAGCCCCATTGTCCCCTAGGTGTGGCAGAGAGGAGAGATGTGGCTGCTGTTGGTGGCCCTGGGCCTGGCCCAGGTGCTGGTTGATGCCATTCCACACGGAGAACTGAGCCATGAAAACCCTGAGCAGTTCATGAACATTGTAAGTGCCACAGGAAAGAGTCCTCCCCAAGGTACCCTGTTCTCTGCCTGCTGTCAGCCTTGTTGGGGAGGGCATGGGATGTTGGCCAGAGGCAAGCTTTTCTGATTTTTCTGCTGGTATCTCCCACTTCATGCCTTCTGCGTGAAGTTGGCTATCCTCTGGTGGTCCTCCAGAATAGATGGGTCTGCCAGTGCATGTGAAGGTAACACCACGCCATGATGGCATGTTGTGGCCATGTCAGTCTCAGCATGCTGGACAGCAGCAGGTCACCTCTTCCATTGCCATTCTGTCCCTGCAGAGTGAGAAGATCCACTTCCAAGGGTACCCCAGTGAGGAGTATGATGTGCTGACTGACGATGGCTATTTCCTCAGTGTGAACCGGATTCCCCATGGCAGAGACAACACTGGGGACTCAGGTGAGGTTGATTTCACCAGGCAAGTAGAATAGTTATGAACCTGTTCAGAGACAAGACTATATACAGGAGGAAAGTTGTGCAAAGCATACTTTCCTCGGGCAAACCCTCAGCCCTGGATCACGGTTTTCTGACATCTCAGAGGCAGGGATCTCAATTATTCACTGAGATCCATGAGGATATTTTCTTTCCATCGAGGAAAGGTTTTTCTTGTGTAAAGTATCTGATTTCTTCTCATTCAGGATCCAGGTCACCTGTGCTAATAGTGCATGGATTCAGCTTAGATGGTGGTGACTGGGTGGACAATCTCCCTGATAGCAGCCTGGGCTTCATCCTGGCAGACACAGGGTATGACGTATGGATTGGAAACTGCCGGGGCAACAGCTGGTCCCAACGGCACCTGAACCTCTCTGTCGACCAGGAGGAGTTTTGGGACTTCAGGTGAGGAAGAGCATGAGGACTGGGCCAGGAATCAGGGCTGCTGGTGTTACCCACCCCAAATCCTTGGGAGGTTGCAGACAGCTGGAGAGTGGGAAATGGGCATCCTCTCCAGCCCCTCTTTTGCTTTTCAGCTTCCATGAGATGGCCATGTATGATGTCCCAGCCATGGTGAATTTCATCCTGCAGCACACCGGGCAGGAGAAGCTTTTCTACATTGGCCATGCTCAGGGCAACTCTCTGGGTGAGTGCAAACAAGGAGCTGGATGTGCAAAGAGTTTACGATGTGTTATGCCTTATTCTAGCTTCAGATATGCTACCCTTTCTCTTCTCTACCAGCAGAAGTTCATTGTTCAGAGGAAAAGATCACCTGTTCCCATCTACCCAGCTCTGAGCTGCTAGTCAAATCTCCTTCTGAAGGTTCATTTTCTAACAAAAAAAAAAAAAAAAAAAAAAAAGATTTTCAACAAGGTCCCAGGTTCCCAGGTCAGAGATATCCTCAGTCAAACTAGGCATTGTGACATATATGGCATTATTGTTGCTGCTGGGGTTATTGTTATGATCTCTTGCTGTTTTTTAGGTTTCATAGCATTTTCGAGCATGCCACACCTGGCTGAGAAAATCAAGTTGTTCTTTGCTTTGGCTCCTCTATACACCTTTCATCATGTTAGAGGCCCTGTGTTAAAGCTTGCATTTTTACCAGACACACTGTTGAAGGTATGGTAATATTTTGTGTGCTATTCCCATCCATTTTCCCAAAGAACTAATTAAATTTAAGTGATTTGGGTAAGTCACATCCTTTGTGTTGTGATAGCTCTCCAGCTGTCATTCAATGAAACTACATCTGTGCCTGGTCTTGAAGATCCCAAACAACAGTCTACAGTTGAACATGCACAGGTTTTACTCTAAGCCCATAGTTGTCCATCATTCTTGTTTTTAAACAGAGGGGAAGATAAACTGTATGAGTCTGGCTATCTCAGGCAGAACTTTTGGAACACCAAGACAATGGGGACAACAGCATGGGGTGGAAAGGGCAATGATGGCATCATGCTGTTCTGAGGCTCAGATGTGACCATGGGGAAGCCTGCTCATGAGGCTGGCTGGCTCAGATGTGTCCCCAGTCTTACTGAGTAGCTACCTGACAATGCTGACTGAGGTAAAGAGGTTCCTGTGAAGAGAGGACGTATGTTGCAGGAGATGCAATGACTTGTTTCTTCCACTCTTGCAGATAATATTTGGAACAAAACAACTGACCCTGGTGGGAAGAAAGGAGAGAGCCATTCTTGCTAAGACGTGCAGCAACATGCTATTATCTGAAGTCTGTGAAAATGAGATCTTCCTTATTGGTGGATACAACAAGAAGAACTTGAATGTAGTAGGTGTATCAGCTTCTCTAGGTCACAGTGACACACGGTCCATTTCCAATTTCCCTGAACTTTCCCTAGACAAATGGAAACAGATACTGAGATTCAAAAACCAGGGTTTCTCATTCCTGGAAAGCACTGCCAGGTGATTTTCTCCTAGCCTACCCTGAGTGGAAGTGTTTTACCTAGACCCTGTGGAGTAAATATTCTCTACATGGCAGAGTTAAAGATGACAGCATGAGAAAGTGGTTACCAGTTACGCACCAAACAAAAACATCTTTCTTGATGTAAGATGAATGTATGCTTGAGTGCATGATCTGCATAATTAGCAATACAGTAAAAAGCATAAACCAAAACAAACAAACAAAAAAGTAAGGTGTAAATATCAGTGTTCAAGGCAGTGGTTATTTGGAGGTTTCCTTTAGCACTGTTCACTGTGTCAGGGTGTTAAGCCCAAAAAATGCTGGTGTAGGTAAGAATCATTAGTGGTTTTGTCTGCAAAGGCAAGGTAACTCCTGCCTTATTTCCTGCTGGCCTGTGACATGTTTGCAGAAAAAAAAAAATGACTGGACTGGTTGTATCTGCATTTTAAAGTGATGGTTTATGACATATTTTTAAAAGCACCTACTCATCTCTGAATAGAGTACAGCTACTTTCACATTTAAAATTACATAGCAGTTACAAGACAGATTTCATTATTAAGATGATTTTCATCATTCTGAAATCACTTTGAAAATACTTTCTTTTTTTCTTCAGAGTCGACTGGATGTATACCTCGCTCATTTTCCAGACTATACATCAGTAAAAACTCTTCTCCACTGGGGACAGGTAGATACTCTGATTTTATAATGACTACAACAAATGTTTTTTAATCAGTGAATACAGTATTTTAAAATGTTGCTTCATTCACCCTAGAAGCAGATAGGAAAATAGAGTGTGCCAAAGCCAACAAAAGTAATTTGATATTACTACACCAAAGTGTAGTAGATAATAGTGAAGAAGTCTGGTACAGTCCTGGGCAAGCACCCTATGGAGGTATTTTTGGGATACTCTCTTTGCTCCAGTGTGCTTGATCCAGGGTGCTTATTACCCGAGTTCTTAAAGCACATGCAAGGTGAAGACATGATCTGAGAAAGCTAGCACAGCTTCGCCAAGGGCAGATAGTACCTGACCAGTATTGTGGCCTTCTGCGATGGAGTGATGGCACCAGTAGACAAAGGAAGAGCAAGTGATGTCATGGACCTGGATTTCTGCAAGGCCTTTGATATGGTCCCACATCACATTCTTATCTCTACTTTGTGAAGATATAGATTTGAAGGCTGGATATTCAGTGTAACAAAAATTCTTTGGGTGGTCATAGCCAGTGTTGTGGTCAATGGCTCTATGTCCAGGTGGAAGTTTGTGAAGACTGGTGCCCCTCATGGGTCCATCCTCAGACTGTTGCTTTTCAACATCTTCATAAATGATATAGTGGGACTGAGTGCATCCTTAGTGGGACTGAGTGCATCCTAAGTGAGTTTGCTGATGACACTAAGCTGAGTGCTGCAGAAAAATAGGGATGCCATCCTAAGGGACCCAAACAAGTTGTGAACCTAATGAGGTTCAACAAGGCCAAGTGCAAAGTGTTGCACTTGGGTCGGGGCAATCCCCAGCAGGGAGAAGAGATTATTAAAAACAGCAGAGCAGCTCTGTGGAGAAAGACTTGGGGATCCTGGTGGGGCTTGCAGCCTGGAAGGCCAGCTATATCCTAGGCTCCATCAACAGGGCTGGGCTGTGGCCAGCAGGGCGAGGCAGCTGATTGTCCCTCTCTGCTCTGCCCTCGTGAGGCTCCATCTGGAGTACTGCACCCAGGCCTGTGGCCCTCTGCACAAGAAAGACGCAGAGCTGTTGGAGGGGTCCAGAGGAGGGCCGTGAAGATGATGTGGGGACTGGAGCACCTGTCCTACGTGGAAAAGTTGAGGGAGATGAGCTTGTTGAGCCCAGAGAACAGAAAGGCTGCAGGGAGAAAGCAGCCGTCCCAAACTTGAAAGGAGGGAGACTGACTTTCTACACAGTCCGATAGTGATAGGACAAGAGGGAAGGATTTAAAACTAAAAGAGGGCAGGTTTAGAATATGTGTTAGGAGGAAATTGTTTACTCAGAGGGTGGTGAAGCACTGGCACAGGCTGTCCAGAGAAGCCGTGGATGCTCCATCTCTGGAGGTGCTCAAGGCCAGGTAGGATGGGGCCTTGGGCAACTTGATTCAGTGGGTGGCAACCCTGCCCACAGCACGGGGGTTGGAATTGGATGGGCTTTAAGGTCCCTTCCAACCCAAACTATTCAATGATTCTATGATTCAGTTATTCTGTGATTATGATTCTTAACACTTTCTGCTTCAGACTGCCAAAACTGGGGAGTTCAAACAGTTTGACTACGGAGAGAAGAATCAGGAGAAGTACAACCAGGTAGGCAGGAGCTTGTGGATGAAGAGGATGAGGCTGGCTGTGTGGGATGAGGGTTGCATACTCCAGTGGCTGATGTGGCTAGAGTCTTCCAGGATGTTAAGCACAGTACGTCACATCTGTTAGTATCTAATAGTATTATTAATGCCAGAGCCGATGAATAACTGCCACATTTCCCCCAGACCACCCCGCCCTTCTACAGGATAGAAGACATGACAGTGCCGACTGCACTGTGGAGTGGTGGGCAGGACTGGGTGAACCCGCCTCCGGAGACCAGTCGCTTGCTCTTCCGTATCACCAACATCATCCATCATGAGCACTTCCCTGACTGGAACCACTTTGACCACCACTGGGGTAAGGATGCCCCACAGCGCATGTACAGAGAGATTGTCAATTTGATGGATAAAAATTCATGAAGAGACTACATGTTGGCCTACGGTGAAGGATCCATTTGTTCCCACAATCTCAGTGACATGAGTTCTGGGTGTGTTGTGCTGCTCTCCTCTTCCCTTTTTAAAAATATCTCCTACCCTATTCTGCACCAATTTAATGGGTTAAAAAATCTGTGTTTAAATTCTGTCTGCCCTCTGTGACTAGGAATTGCAATAAACTCTTGTATAACTACCTAACTGCAACCTTTTGCTTGGTAGGCGCACCATGTTTGTGCTTGCACGCCACTGCTGGGGAGGGGTGTGCAAAAGACCCTGGCAATATTTTTTTAATTTTTCTTGGCTCAAAGTATTGATTGTTCAGGGCATATTGTGGCCTGGCTGGCCCCCAGACTTCCTGCCAATACCAGGACAAGTTCTCCCTTGGCTACAGGTGAGTACCCACAGTGACCTGAAAAACTTGGGGGATGTGTAATACAGAAGAGCATCCTTCCTCTTGTCAGTGGAGAGTGGCCTCAGCAACAAAATCAATACTCCCTTGCCAGTTCTGATGCATTGCCAGTACACACAGCTTTGTGAAAAGACATTTTGATCTGACATTTTACTCCAGAAATTGAGCATGTAATTTGGAGTGTGAGTTTTGGTGAAGGAGGGGTGGCAAGAGGCCTTGTCCAAGGACCTGGAAAAGTGAGAGTGGGATAGCACTGACTTCAAGAGAGAAATATGCAACTTGGAAGAAAGTGGAAGGAAACAAAAGAGGTAGCTGCACACCGTAAGTCCAAGAGATTGTGAAAGAGCAACACTTCAGTGGAAGACAGATTTAGGTTAGATATTAGGAAGAAATTCTTTACTAAGAGGATGCTGAGGCACTGGAACAAGTTGCCCCATCCCTGCAGATGTTCAGCTTCATGTTGGATGGGACCCTGTGCAGCCTGATCTAGTGGGTGACCACCCAGCCCATGGCAGCGGGGTTGAAATTAGGAAATCTTTAAGATCCCTTCCAATCCAAACCTATGATTCTACAGTTCCATGATTTGATGATCTGGGCTGTGCCATTTGGCTAGGTCTTTAGTAGGAGATAACTCACCTAGAACAGTGTCCCACATGACCTCCTGGCAAAAATGACAAAAACTCAGCTATGTTTCATAACAAGTTGAATTTAACATACCCATAGCGTTCTCTAAAAAAATCTTTATTTTCTTAGTATCTTGGAAATCTGACTTTCTGTCATCTCCCTTTCACTCTCCCTACTCCTCTCCCTCCATCCATTTCTCTATCTCTCTGTCTCTCTGTCTCTCCATCTCTCAATATATCAGGCAGCCAGCCACTATTCCATAGATACATCCATCTATCAATCTATCAATCTATCCTCCAAACTATGTGATGTTCCATCATGAAGCCTACCTAAGATAGAGTTGCATTTGAAGAGCACTGTGAACAAAAGGTAGGGGCCAAAAACAGAATTTCCTTTCAGAGAATCTGGTCATGACAGAGATTTTATTTGACCCTGCTCTCACTGGGTACTACTGCTGCCCTGTGTTTTGTTGCAAGGCTGGGATGGGCAGCTGGCATTGTCCTCCTTGGCTGGCAGCCTCAGAGTACTATGAAGACAATATTCACCATTTCGGGGGGCTTGAGGCTAGGGATCACCCAAACCCGTGGTGTTTTCAGTATGGCATTCCCAGACTGCCTACCTATCCCTGTATTACCAATCTGCTGCCTGAGCACCCTGTGTTAGATCCACAGGAGACAAGCTGTTCATGGCATGGGTAAAGGGGGATGTCCTGCGGACCTTAACCTTGTTCCCCACTGCAGTGCTTAACCCAGAGCAAGCCCTTAATGGACCTGGGAAGAGCTGACACCTAGTGGGGGCATGAAAGCAATATGCACAAAACCAGACAAGATGGTGGTTAAATGGGATATCAGTGTTTGCTTGTCAATACCATCATTCACTGTGAGAATCGGCTTCTGAGGGATGCTGGAATAAAGGCAACGCTTCAGTGATCCTATTATAAAGGGAACTGAAAAAATAGTGGTCTAATGGCCACGTTATGGCTTACTTTGTTGAGTTATTGGCCACAGGTGAAGAAGAGTAAACTCATCAACTCTCAGTGTGTTTTGTGTATGTGTGTAGGCATGTGCAAAGAAACAGGTTCCAAGAGAGGATGCAAATTGCCATGGATTCAGTAACAAATACTGGAGATAGAAACTTTAGAAACAGAAGCAGTAGCTAAGTGATGTTTAATAATCTGCTCTGTGATCAGAACAGATCTAGTTCTCATCAGCAACTCAAGGACTCAGGAGAGAATCTCAGCATGAAAATCTGATTAAAGAACTGGATGATTACATACAGCAACTACAGAAGATCAAAGATTTCCAAGGAACAGACAACAACATTTCCCCACCTCACTTTGCTCACAAGCAAGGACACTTAGCAGCACCAGCATTGGGTGTGGCAAGCACATTCAGTGCACAGCCCAATAGCATGTTAGTCCTGTCTATTGAGTAAATGTGCTAACCTATTTCCTGTAGAGTTGTTCATGAGTCTGCCTGCAAGTCTCTACACACATTAACACATGTCCAGTGTGGTTCAAAGAAGAGGGTTTTAGGAGAATCATAGAATAACTGATCATCCCGGGCTGGAAAGGATCCAGAAAGATCATTGAGTCCAACTCCTGCCTCCACGCTGGATCATCCAGAAATCAGACTATATATCTGAGATTGTCCAAACACTTCATGAATTCCAGTGACTTAACTTCCAGAACTCCAAAAACTCTGAGTACCAACAGTCCATAGGTAATAAAAATGTTGTCAATATAGGTAGAATTAAGACTTGTGAGGTCTGTTTGCAACATCTGAATGCCTCATCTGTTAACCCATACAAATATATTTAAAGAACAAAGTATAACTCTAAAGTGAAACTGACATCAGCCAAGTAGCTTGTGGGACTGGGACTCTGGTCTCAAAGCATCAATTGCCAGAAGTCATTAGGTGTGGGAACGTAAGAAAAAACTGCACGGAGCAGCAGCTGCGGAGCAAGATAAGCGGCATGAGAACCAAGGACACCTTCAGAAGAAGAAAGAACATCTCACGGCTCTGATTGGCTAAGCACCTGTGTGAACGGTTAAAGAGTGTTTTGCAGAATGCTCTGTTAACATGTATAAATACAGTAGTGCTTAACAATAAAGCAGACTAATAGCCTTTAACCACACTGGTGTGCTGTTATGTCTCTAGCGTGTCCTGAGAGTCCAGAGACTTCCCCACAACTAGGTGTGTATTCAAATAATATCTTGAGAAAAAGCCACTGCAGGGAGCATCAGAGTTAATCCATCAATAGATTGCCTAATAGAAGCTTTATAACAGTAAATTAGACATCAGTATGTAGGATTGGAGGCTTTTGCTGTCTATTTGCAACACAATGCCAAGGCTAATGAAGACTAATCATGAAGACAATACACACTTGAGACTGAACCTTTGAATAATACACTTTAGATTCTTCTTTCAAGTTAAAGAGAAGTCAGACTTGTGTTATTTCCGCAAATGATAAGAACTCAAAGAAACTTCTATTCACCATTTTATATTTCATTCCAATTGGAAAAACAGGAAACGCAATGCTGTCAGGTTGCAGGGAGGCAGAGGGGTATGCAATCCCACATCTGCCTTGTTACTGCTTCTTGTTCTGAAACAGGATCGCAGGAAAATCCAGGGTGGAAAGTCACCTGCTCCAACCACCTGCTGAGAGCAGGGCTGCCATGACAGTGCTAGGGGCTCAGAGACCCTTCATGCGCAACTGAAGTCTTCTGGTTGCCATTGGGAAGCAGGGGTGAGGAAAAAAAGCTTTGTTACTCCCTTTTGCGAAGCCATGTCAAAGTCAAATTTGCTGAAATCTGCCCAGAAAAACAGCTTGGAGGGTTATTGTCCCCTGATCCTGAAGAACCTGTTCAAATGGGGGCTGGGATTTTCATCCAAAACCTCTCAAAGTTCAGTTGATGTGCTCATGATCCATTTTGCTCATATTGCAGTTTGATCTCTTCAATTATTTAGAATGGCAAAAATAGGGTGAAGGTGTATTTCTTCCCACACTGCCAGTAATTAACCTGAATTTATGGAGAGAGTCAAAAACAGAGGGCAGCATTTTGCCCCTGATCCAGATGAGGAGGTCAAAATGCCAGGAAATATGTTGGCCTCACAGTGGGTTAGTACAGATTTATGTTGTGAGTTGCTGCTTTGGGAACAAGTGAAAACTAGGGGATTGAGAAGTTCTTAAGCTATGCACCAACAGATCTGTGCTTTTGTTGGTGGTGGTGGTTTGGGTTTTTTTTTGTTTGTTTGTTTGTTTTGTTTTTGTGGTGTTGTTTTTTTTTTTTTTTTACTTTTTTGCTGTTTCTGAATAAGAAAGCTATAAATTTCTGTTCATAGCTGTTTAAAAAACAAACAAACAAACAAACAAACAAAAACAAAACACAGAAATTAAACTATTGGAATAATCCATGGTAAATGAGCAGAAATCTGGGGACTGAAAGACAGGAAAAGATATGAGTAGAGGTGGAGAGGAAATACTACCTGTGAAATTTGTTTGTGCGCAGTGTGATTCTCTTGTCTGAACAGTAATGCGCTCATCATCCTCTGATACTAGAAGGAAACACAGAGGGCTTGAGTCACAGTACTCACGTTTTTCTGTCTCCGCTTGGCAGTTGTCTGACTTCCACTCTGCATTGTCAGGAACCCACAAGGATCATCGAGTCGAACTCCTGGCTCCACACGGGACTACCCAAAATCCAGATCATATATCTGAGAGCAACGTCCAAATGATGTCAGATGATTCTGTGATTATGAGAGGACAACCCAGGCAGGGTTTGGGGATGTGACATGATGTTCAACATGAAATCAGACCACTGCTTTGCCAGAGGCATTGCAGGGTGAAAGAGGTGGCAGTCCCTGTGGGTTGGGACCAAGATGCGCATCCTTCTGTGGTTCAGTTAATGTCAACTTCCTCCAGGATGACTGAGAAGATGCAAGTGACAACCACTAGCACAGGCATCCAAACTCACCACCTCAAACATCAGCAAGCTCATCCAAACCACAAAACACACAAATCCCTGTTCCCAAAACCAGGTCCATGGAGTTCCTGCTCCAGTCTCTGTTTCAGTCCCATGCCTACGGACACTGTGGGAGAAATCACTACGGCTGTCTGGACACCCATGGTGGAGGAGCTC